GGGTTTTACATCATGGAACGCGTCATTTTTGGCTTGCACAAGAACAATTTTGCGTTGGAAACCGAAGTGGAAGCTGGCTACGAAAAAACCGACACCCCCGCTGAAAAGGACGCCGAGCCGTTGGCCGAGAACGCGATCGCGGCGCTTGAAGCGCATGATCGGGACGCTGCTACGTACCGCCTGCCCGGTGTGTACCCCAAGGTCGCTGCCTTGCGCATTGTCATTGTCGTCGCCACCGTCGCGATCGCGTGCGCGTGGGAAGAGCGCCTCCTCGACTTGTTGGACTTTACCGGTGCCTCGTCGATTGCTGTGTCATGCATGATCATGCCGATCGTGTTTTACTTGAAGCAATTTGGCAACCGTATCGGTGTCGTCGAGAAGATCTGGGCATACTTTGCCGTCATCGTGTCGCTCGTGCTGGGTGCGTACGTCACGTACATTTCGGCCGACCCGCTGTTCAACCCGCCGTCGGGTCCGGCCCCCAAGCCCACGTGGGACAACATTAAGTTTCCTTTCTGCCCTGCCGACTCGAGTTACGCTCGCATCACGTTCACCAACGTGTCGTACCACCAAAACTTGACCTCCTTGGCCATCTAAGCCAAACATCCCGTGCGTGTGCTCGTGTCGTGGTAATCTAATGCATTCACTATTCAATCGACGACACGCTGTTGTCTTTCACACGGAAGCGCGGCAACGGGACTCGCGACTCCTTACTGCTGACCTCGATGACGAGACTCTGTCGAACCCAGTGCTCACCTCCACTGTCGCGCCACGTGGAATCGACAACGGGTGTGTGTGTGGGTGGGTGGGGTGTGTGTTGATTCGATGATGGATGGGCTGGACATGGTCGCCAGCAAGTAATGGTAGGTACCTGCCATCGCTGCCCTCGGCCATGTCGCCATTCGTTGTTGTTGAAGTGGGTCGTCTATTAAAATAGATACGTAAATCTACGCTAAATAAAATTGTCGGACTATCTTCGTTGTGTAGGCGTGCTGGTTGTGAGCATGATCTAGACCGGCGGAGGCAGGAGCGCGATCCGCGGAACAAGGTGCTGGCGCGGCCCCTCGTGTTGGGCGAGGAGCCGGAGAAGGCGACGGAGAGCCATCTGCCCGGGCTCTTGAACGAGGCTGTGGTGCAAGTGCATTTGAGCGGCACGCGCCGCAAATGTCGCCATTCGTTGCAGTGGACATTTGAAATTTGTGCACCACCAGCCAGAGGTTGGAATAGTAAATGCGGTGTGATCGAACTGCTTTGACTGATGCGTTCAAAATATTCCCTAGCCTGTTAAGCTCGATATTTTCAAATAATTGATACATACAAAGACACAGTTCGTACATTATTACGTGTTCGAGGTCGGAACACCGTGAACCCGTGTCGAAGACTTGGCGGACGAGTCCAAAGTGTGTGTCGAAGTTGCCTTTCGTCCTTCTGCGTCAAATTTCGATGCTATCGCCTTGGGCAGGAGCAACCTTTCACCGTGCAAAGGCTCCACGCTACGATTGGAAACATCGTGAGACGCAGTACGAACATGCCACGCCGCGCGTGACGGATAAAGCGATCGACGACCAAACAAACCGACCACATCTGAAGAGACCATACTAACACGAATCTGGTTCGTTTCACACTGGAATGGTTCTCCTCACAACAGAATAGATTTCACTGAAAACCACGCAAACTTATCACGTCGTAAAGGTCTCGAGCACTGGGAAAATCCCAAACGCCACTTTACCATCCTCACCTGGACCTACAGTGAACCCCTGAAAAAGCCAACATGCAAAATGCATGGAGGAAGAATAAAATCAAAATTTCGTGAATTAGTCCAACTTGATTGGCTAGAACTAGAATAATTTCAGTCAGTCAAAGACAGGTATCATTGTATCTGCACTGCAATGGGTCATCCTTGCCATGCTGGCCATGCAGCTGCACGTCACGATTGCGTACGCTGTCATCATGACCCCTGGGTTTTACATCATGGAACGCGTCATTTTTGGCTTGCACAAGAACAATTTTGCGTTGGAAACCGAAGT